CACAGTCTGGGTTTATATCTGTTCCATATTCTCAATATGGCACTTCTAATATAATGATTCTGAAAATCCACATTAATCTTAACTTTATTGTACCACAGAAAACCATGCCATCTGAACCTTATATTGTGCTCTTCTAATTTGAATATCCTCTTATTTCTCAGCAAAACCCACTCTTTCATCCAGACTAAGCAACAGGTTACAAAGTACAATTTCAAATCAGGGAGTCCTAATCCTCTTCGTTTCTTTACATCTTGAAGTATTTTATATTTAATATTTAATCTCATTTTTTCATTGTGCTCCTTGATTTTCATTACTAGAGTTTCCAGTTCATTTGTATAAATATCAGATACCCCTGCATGACCTATGTTTCTGAAGTGGCCCATGTATGTAACAGCATCATCACTGCAGTCCGTCAGCACTGCAGTTAAATGTTAAATGTGGCCACTGGCCACCAAAGAGTTGCTCATAACTATACAGTATTATTAAAAAAACAAAATTGTTAAAAAACCCCGAGATACTCTAAGTTAATACATCACATGAAACCATCATAATGGAATAGTTGGTACTCCCCCATCCCATCATTATATTTTTAACACAATTTGTTCTATCTATGTGGTCACTAGGAGTTGAAAATGACTTAATGGCACATAATCAATCAATCAATCAAATGTTAAATTACGTTTCCTAGTTTGTTTATGTGCCATCACATTGGTGTTGACTCTTAACAACCACACAGATAGATTTTCTCCATGATGATCTACTCCCAAACCTGACCTTCAGGTCTTTCAATGGTGCAGTCATCACCACTGTACTGAGTCCTTCCACCTTGTTGTTGGTTTGTCCTCTTCTTCTCTTGTTCCAAAACTCCCAGTACATGATTTAAATATGATCTAATATGCATAAGGGAAATTTGGTGGAATGACTGGCATACAGCAGTTAGAATACAGCAAAGGATACTATTTGTACAGAAGGAACAGAAGCAATAGCAAGGGGAAGAAGAGTTACATTACATACTTAAAAGTATGCACACTTACTCAGAAACCCAAGTGAATGAATTTGGTGATAAAGCAGTAGGCATCTGTGTTATATAAGTAGATGAACAAATAAAAGTAATTTTGTTATTAGTGCCTACTATCACCTGCCCAAACAAGAAAAAAAGATGGAGTATGCTTTCCAAGATCAAATTGCAGATCTTTCAAAGAGGCATGAAATAGTAATTGAGACCTTTAACTACCTAACAACTCTGGGAGACAAATAATAGTCTTATAGGTTATTGCTTCTCAAGCACTTGGATAAGTCCTCTCATTGTTCTCCTCTCTTTATTCTGTACAATCAGTATTAATGTTTCCAATAATAAAGGAGAAAAAAATTCCTCTACAGACATTGGAGAGTATGCATAAAAAGCTGGGAAGATGCAAATAAATTTTCAATTATACAAAGTCAAAATTTGATGAACATGTTTAATCACTGATATTTCCAGTTGACCAGCCTTCATTACCACTTGCTTCTGCCCAAGCATGAACACAGAAAGTCAAGATAAATTAATGGGTAAACAATTCTTATGTGCCAAGGACATTCTATGCAATTAAACATATCAGGAGAGAAAGCAATGGAATGTGATTAGAGTTGTTGCACAGGCCACCCAAGTACACTCAGGATGAGATACAAGGATGATGTGTTCCCAGACGCTTGTTTACATTTTTAGAAATCATGTGTATTTTGGCAAATTTGAGTCTGAGTCTCTTCATACTTCTATGCATGATTTTTCCTATTTTTATTTCAATAAATGAAAGTTAAAGACAACGAAAACTATCACATCAAGAAAGTGGATTACTAGGAACTTTAAAGATAGGTGCTACAGAGCCTTAACAATAGTCATAGTAAAAACTCATCATAACTGGAGAGTTGAATTATGTAGACCAGGAGAAGGTAATCTTTGGGGGTCAGTTTTGATAATACAAAAAGTGCATTCTCATAAAATAGCTGCTATAGGAGAAGCCTTGCCCATTTACACAATATCTATTACAGTAGGAATGGTCAATTGAAAGTCATGCGTTTATCAGAAGGCAAACTGGTGAAATCACTCCCCATATACCCATTTCAGCCATTTTTCTACCAGCATTTGCCCTCTCCACCAGCATGATGTTCCCTGAGTTCTTTCATACCATTCCCTTCTCCCATCTCCATTAATACCAATTTTTCTCCAGACTTCCAACAGGGTACTGTAGAGGAGAGCAGAGCTCCGCAATTTTATTTGAGAAAGAAGGAATAACCATACCACTGCTATTTTATCTATACACTAGAAGAAAACAGGACATATTTGTGCAATTCTGAAATGGTGTCAGTAGAGATTGTAACCTCCAGGTACAGCATTATTTTCAGGATGTGGCACCATCACTCTTTCTCATTCCAGCATCCTGAAAACAATTAGGGATGTGCATCTTGGCTTTTATTGGTCATGTGCTAGTTTCCCTATATTTGTCGGTTACAGCCCTCCTCACCTCTACACCCCAAGAAACATGGTTGTCCAACACCTAGTCAGTTTCAATTGGTAACACTGCACTTCTATAGGGCAAATGATGGCTAGGTCTGCCTTTCTTCCTAGGGCTGAGCGTGGCAACTGGCCCACAGTCAACCATCAAGCTTTCATGCTAAAAGTAAAAGTACAACTCAGGCTTCCCTGCTCCTGGTCCAACTCCTTAACTACTAAACCAAATTGGCCTTCTGTTGTTAGTAGGGTAAGGTAAGGGAATCTTGAAAGCCTATCAAAGCAATTCTATATATTAACGTATACCTAGCATAATTAAGATGGAGTTACTCCTAGTCTCTTTCCTCTCTTCCCTGGACTAAGGAATCTTTTCTGAAATGCTCTTGCTTCCTCCTCTTAGGGTCTGCTAAACATTCTATTATACTCCTTCCTGATGATATTAAAGTTCATCTGAAAATAATCACTTGAATGAATACAGAATTTTGGAGTTGGAAGAGTTCACAAGAATCATCTGGTCCCCTCTGCAATGTGGTAGAAAACCAGTTCAATCATCCATGAGAGGTAGTATGCATAACCTCCAGAAATACTGGCCCCCTAACCTCCATAGACTGTTCCATTGTTGTACAGATCTTACATCAGGAAGTTTTTCCTTAGATTTAAACAAATTTGAGGTAGCAGCAACTTATACCCACTGCTTCTGGTCCACGTTTCTGTGGCCAGAGAAAGTACTGTAGTTCTCAACCATCTTCTCTGTAGCTTCCTTTTATGTACCTGAAAATGACTAATGTCTCCATCAGCATCATGTATACATATAAGACTTAGGACTCCATCTTCACTGGTCAGGTAGAAATGCTAAACTCAGGCTGAGAATGATGGAAAGGATATGATTTGCAAACATCAGAGAAGGTGAATTTTTTCTTGTGCCAGATGCGAAAAAAAATCTCCCTGGCTACTGCAGCAACGGAAATATGAGTCAGAGATCTAATTTCTCTAGCAATGATGCTACTGGGGATCTGGATTTTTACACTAACATTCCTTTAAACATATTGTCACAACAGGGTGATTAAAAGCAGTATACAGTATGCAATTTGTATTGAGCAAATTCCCATTTTTGATGGAGATTAGTTATCTCTGCCTTTTAATCAGACCATGGTGTGATGCTCACAATTAGCCCAATTAAAGAAGTCTTAGAAAACAGGGCTTTACAATTCCTTCTGCTGTCTCCTTGTATGAACCCCAACACCAAGCAAGTTTTAATACCCACGTTTTTATAAATGCATTGTGGTTTATGCACATTTTAAAATCAAATACTTGTGGAAATTTGTTCTTTAGTCTATAAGGAACATCTATGAACTACTATAATATTCCTGTGCTTGGCTTGCTGCGAAACCAGGGAGGTGTAATGGGCAGAAGGAACCCGGGGAGAGACTTACTCTGCATTAGTTCATGCAGCGCACTGGAGGGGATGCACTGTATGGGATTTTCACTTGCTAGTTGGGCTTCGTTTAACTTCCAGACATTCGCGGTCGTACAGGAACGCACAGACGTCGCCGGAGATACGACTATTAGGACTCCCACCTTGACCTAATGAGCGCCCTCCCGAAAGGCGCCCAGCTAACCCCCCCACCCCTCCGGGGACCAGGCCCAAGGAAGAGCTTCGTGGCAGAGGAGGTTCGTGCCTGGCCGTGAGGGGGGACCCCGCGCACGGCGCCACCCATCCTGCCCGCAGCGGTGGGTGGCTGGGTGGGGCTGAGGCAGCGCAGCCACGCTCCCCTCCAGGGACAACCCCGCTCTTTAGCCCCGAGGGGGAGGGGTCGGCCTTCCTCCCCCCTCCCTTCGCGGTAAAAGGCAGCGCTCTCTTCGCCTGCTCCCCTCAGTCGGAGCAGCGGCGGCAGCACGAGGACTGAGCTTAGCTGCTTCCGCGCCGACCGCTCCGCTGCCCCCGCCCGCTTTACCTGTACCAACACCGCGGGGAAGTCGTCCTCCCAGCCTCCGCTGTTCTCGCTGGTTCTCCCTCCGGGCCTTCCAGCCGGCCAAGGTGAGTGAGGGGTTCCGGGGACAGCCGGGCACCTGTAGGAGGAAAGCGCGGCGCTGAGTTCGGGACCGGGGGAAGTTTGCGCGGGCGGGCGGGCTCGCGATCCATCTTCTGCGCGCTCCTCGTTCCCCAGAGGTGCGTTCCGGAGGAACTGCCTGGCCATGTACAAACTGTAGAGCCCCTCCGACCCAAGAATGCTCTTGGCCGCTGCCTTGAGAAAGCGTGGAAGACAAAGGAGGGGGCGCCTGTTAATAGGTAGCGACCCACAAGTCGCATGGGGCTGCCAAGTTCCATTCACACGAGTGTGAGAATAGGGCTTTCCCCCCAACCTTCTCCAAATCTGACCTCTGAGGACCGTCTGGCCCATCAAGTAACCCCACTAGGCCTATACAGAACAACGCATTTGCATCATTTTAACTTTTCCTGAAAGCCCTTGGGGAAAATATTGCATGGGGGTCCAGAACCAGCTGACCTGCAGTTCTCCAAATAGCCAACATCAGGCAGCTTGATCCCATTAGTTTCTCACATTTCCATGGGCAGCCTTTTAAGTGGTTGTGCAACTTCTTTTTCTGGTACAGTACCTGGTTGGAGGTTTGAAGACAGTTTTTGTATGTGCTTGGTTATCTGTCTAGGGCAGTGTTTCTCAATTTTAAGAAGTGTGGACTTCAACTCCCATGCTGGCTGGGGAATTCTGGGAGTTGAAGTCCACACATTTCTCAATTTTAAGAAGTGTGGACTTCAACTCCCATGCTGGCTGGGGAATTCTGGGAGTTGAAGTCCACACATTTCTCAATTTTAAGAAGTGTGGACTTCAACTCCCATGCTGGCTGGGGAATTCTGGGAGTTGAAGTCCACACATGTTAAAGTTCCCAAGGTTGAGGAACACTGGTCTAGAGAGCATGTACAAATCTTTCCTTTCTATTGTAGAGCATAATGCAATATATATGGCCAATCATTTCTTTCCACACACTTTTTTTTCACTTATTACCCCCTATC